GCCCTGGCCGAGCCAATCTCCCGACATGAACCTCATCGAAAACCTCTGGGCCATACTCGACCGGCAAGTCAAGAAACAACCAAAAAACCAACTGCGAAGAGCGATCTACTCCAAGTTTTGAAGCAAGAGTGGACAAAAATCGCACAATCTAAAATTGACGAGATGATTCTCACTATGCCCCAAAGGATCAACGAACTCCACGAAGTGAAAGGAAGATCTACTAGATATTAATTAAATTATAAATATATCAATTCATGTGAATATGACTGAAAAATTTCATTTTTTCTGAAAAGGATTGAGTCTATTTACTTGTAACCATGCTTTTTATGAGAAAAACAACTTGTGCAAATTAATTTGTGAATTACATAGGTGCTTAAAATGATGCAATATGACAGAGAAATAGCAAGAAAACATTTATTCTATAACCTTGCAAATATCTGTATTATATCAGTAGTTATTAATTTTATCAAAACCATAAAAAAAAACACAACACTACAATGTTTGAAAAGTTTGTCCTAATTTTGATTTTCTTTCATTTCTACAAGATCTCGTGTTCTCACTCCTTCTTGGTTGGTTTTGTATCCAATAATCTCAGATTTCCCCTAACGTTTTTAATTTGATTTTATTGTCTTTGGCTGCCATCTTCTTATTTAGCTTCATGAATGACCATAGTGAATTATAGATCTATTACTGTGGTACTCGATTCATAAATAACGTTTCTGTTTTCTTCAGGGGTGTAATGTCATGGAATATGGCCTTCGCACATGTGCATGTATCAAATAGTAAAGATTTCTATTTGTTTTAAAAACTCTGTGTAAACGTGCTTGTAACCGAGGAAAACAGACACGTACGACAAACATATATATATACAACGAACTCCAATTGGTACTTCTCTTTCATAAATAAGACTAATAAGCTCAAGTTAAATTAATACTAGTGATATTTCCCAATGTGAAATTAAAATACTAAACACTGCCTCAACATGCCGTTTTCAATTTAAGGAATACAACTGAAAGATGTGCAACAAATGACCAGAAGAGGCTTAGGGATCAAGTACCATAACAATTTTTATGTTGTATGAGAGTTCATAATTATAACTGAATAACAACTAGCTATTTGTCAGCTACTCATCTCTGTATTACTTTCCCAGCAAAGAATTGAATTAAATCAGTAGACTTACCAAGACGTCATCTACATATCCAATGACAATATCTAAAAGTTCTTGGATGTTCCGAGTTGATCCAGTTATCTGATCAAAGTCAGGTTTGCATTCAACACTCTTCTGTTTGTTAAACTTTGTACCCTGGCAGACTTTCACTGGTGGAATACATAAAGTTTACACGCTGAGTTATGAAAAACAACAAACCATACTTAAATAAACTTCTTACATCACAATATTATTACATAGGCAATCTCATTCTACAACATTACACTATGGCTTAGTGTTAACTGTATGTAAGAAAACAAGAGGTTTCGATGAGTTAGAATAAAATTAACAATTTTACTTTTTCACGGCTATTAACTGTTGATTCATTTGTAGGTCTTGTATAATTACAGTTTTCACTAGCCCTCATCTTCAGTATGTAGGTCTTGTATAATTACAGTTTTCACTAGCCCTCATCTTCAGTATGTAGGTCTTGTATAATTACAGTTTTCACTAGCCCTCATCTTCAGTATGTAGGTCTTGTATAATTACAGTTTTCACTAGCCCCCATCTTCAGTATATGATGATCATTTGTAGGTCTTGTATAATTACAGTTTTCACTAGCCCTCATCTTCAGTAAATGATGATTGTATAATTACAGTTTTCACTAGCCCTCATCTTCAGTAAATGATCATTTGTAGGTCTTGTATAATTACAGTTTTCACTAGCCCTCATCTTCAGTAAATGATGATTGTATAATTACAGTTTTCAC